ATCACACACTAGGGCTGATGCTTAGTGGCATTTGCAACCCCTCTTGCACCTGGAGCCGCTGCAGTGTGCGTGGGTCCTCCAAGGTTTCCTGTGCTGAAACTGAATCCTGCGGCAAAGCAATAAGAGCGGAAACTGAACGTGACCGAGGCTCTGAGAAGCCCTCACGGGTTTCAGGAGGAGGAGGAAGGCATCTGGTGGAGCCCTGAGATGGAAACCTGGGGACCAAGTGGCAAGAGGACACCAGGACACACAAAGCTGTGCTCCCCATCTCTTGCCATGGGCCTCACCCCAAGGTCGCCAGCAGACGTGGCCCTCAGCCCTGAGCCTGCAGCACGGCGAGCCTTAGAGGTCCGCAGCCTTGGGCATCTGCAGCCACAGAAAGCAGACTACTACAGTACCTCACCCGAATCCCACCAGCTCATGCCGCCGTCTGGACGCTATGCGATCTATGATGACCAGCTTGGGGACATGAGCCCCTGTGCAAATCCCCACAGAGAGGAGGGAGAGGCCAGAACCCGAGCTTTTGGCCCCGCTGTCTCAGGACAGCCACAAGGGACGCGCGGCCCTGGTAAATGCTGAACTACAGCACGGCACAGGCCGCTGGGCTTTCAGGCCTGGAAACACCACCGACCTTTGGCCCCAAGTCCTCCTTGGAGTGTGAATTCGATTCTGCCCAACTTTGTCTCCAGAACCCAGGTTCAGGCCATTTCTTTCCTGACTCCAAAGACTACCAGGGGGCCAGGAAGTGGCACAAAGCAAAGCCATCTTTTCCCTTTTCATGGTCTCGTAACTGTAATCAGACCAGTTACCCAAAGTCTGCTGGGCAGGCTGCCCTGGGGGTAGGCAGCGCACCTCCCATTCTGAAAACAAAAGCAGATCCCACACAAAGGCAAACACAAATGACCGCTCTCAATTCAAGCCAAGTCCAACAACACTCCCCCTCTCCGAACAAGAACTCCAAATGGTGATCTTCATTCCTGAAGACAGCCCAGGTGGCAGGGAAGAAGCTTTTCTCTGCGTCCACCAAAGTGACTTACCCCACGCAAGTTTGGAGTTCATGATCCCTCAGAGTTCCAGCTTTTTGTGCCATTGCCAGGTGAAGGCTGTGCGTCCCCAGTACACGGACAATCCCAGCAAGGATGTTTTCCAGCAGCTTCCAGAGACAAATCCCCGGCCTGAAACAGAACAAAGCCTCCTGAATGGTTAGGTTGTTTCCAAACCCAAGTCAACTTGCTCCCCTTGGAAAAGGGCCCAATGGACAGAAGACAAGTACCTGGGACATAAAAATGTATCATCCGAAGCCAGCAAGATGGAGAACCACAGGCTCTCTGCCTGCCCTCGTTCCAAAAGGCCATCTTGACACAGGTTTTCTGCTTCTTTTATCTTTAAGAGGACATAATCAAGGAAACCTGGTTACATGTAATCTGTTGATTTGCGTCAGTCTTGAGGAAGGTGGAGCAGGATTGGGAAAGTGTCTCGCAAACTAGCCCTGTGGTGCTAGTTGACTTGATTACCTCAGGCAGTGAGCTCCGGGAGCTGTGGACTTTGCTAGCAAAGGGTTACGTAAGCATGGCCATGCTACCAAGGCCAGACGTTTCACGCATATAACGACAACCATGGCAGCCAGCACTTATTAAGGCTGCAACACTGGCAGTTTTCAGCACTTCAGCACTAACTCATTGGACCTCCCCCAACCTGGACACTCCAGTCTGCCCTGCCGGGGCCCACACCTGGAATCCCAGCTGCACGGGCTCAACATGACACTCGGGCAGCACCAGCCCCGGCTCAGGGGTGAACGGGGCTGCCTCCCAGCCAGCAATCCAGAATGAAATCTCAGCCAGGCCTGTTCTTTAAAAAAGAATCTGGAAAGGCTTTCTGGCCTCATCTTTCACATGGGCCTGTTTCCCTCTAGGAAGTGCCCCCTCAGCTGTCTCCAGAGCAGGAATGTACCTCCTTTGCCAGGCCATGGCTGCTCTTTCCCTTCTGGTCCCCAAGACAGCCCCAGACCCAGAAGGCTTCTCAGGACAGTCACACTCCACAGAGCTCTTTCCCCAGGGCACTGACTCTGGTTTTTCAGCAGTTCCCCGATTATGAAGCAGATCACAGACCTTTACCATCAGAGTAAGAGGAACTTGATAACCCCAGGACACCAAGACACAAACATGAAATGCCATGAAAACCTCATCCAGTTAACTCATTTTCAACATGTTAAACTCAGATATAAAAACAAGATTTGAAGTTCCTTTACTTCCACCTTAAGAAGGGAACATACTTAGGGACCAGAGCTGCTCCTGACCAGCCTCTGCATCCACTGGAGTCCCCCGGCCAGGAAGAAAGGACTCTGGCTTTTCAAGCCCTTGCAGCCCCATGGTCTCTTGGTCTCCAGTGCAGCCAAAGGCATTACTGGCCTTTTTCATATAAAAAGGTGCATACCCACCAGCCCAAACCTGCTGCATAAATGGCTTATTTTTAAAATTCAAAAAACAGAAAAGGGAAAAGAATTTTTTTGTTTTTGGCTTTTTGAAACAAGGTCTAACTATGTAACGTAGGTTGGCCTCAAGCTCACAGCAATCCACCTGCTTCGGCCTCCCAAGTGATAGGATTACAGGTGTGCGTCATCACGCCTGACTAGGAGAGAAATACTTTTTTCATGTGACATTTGACTGTGGTCCTCAGAGACTCTCCACCCAAACCGGCAAACAGCTCTGTCCTAACTTTGAATTTGCAGAGACTGACTTGGCAGTGTGAAAAAGCGAAGACAGGCTTTGGAAGAACAGAGTACTGAGGACAGGTCAGGACAGCCTAGTGGGTGACCTAGGGCAGTCAGGCAGAGCAGGACAAAATTGACTGCGCTCTTATCCTGACTCCAACTCAAAGCGAGCCTGGGCCTTGGGCAAATCATACAAGCTTCTGTGCCTGTTTCCTTCTGAAATGTCTCTCCATCTGCTAGTGTGACTATTAGAGAGCAGCAGAGCACCTGGTGGATGGCAGTCAGGTGCTCAGAGGAGCAATGCTCAGGCTCTGATTTCCATTACACCGTCACTAAGTTTGATTCTCATTTATTACTCTCCAAGTCCCTGTTACAAGCCAGGCCCTGGACACGGGAGTAAGGAGCCAGTGAGCAGAGGTCAGACCCAATCCCTAGCCAACAGAATTTTAATTCCAGACTTGAAACATTTAATAACTCAGTTATTATAGTACCTAATTATAATGTGGAAAAGGGCTACAGAGGGAAAATGTGTCTTGGTTACTTTCTCACTGCTGAGACACAATACCCAATGCCTATAACTTAAAGGAAGAAAAGTTTATTTTGGCTCACAGTTTGTAGAGGTTTCAGTCCATAGCCAGCTGACTCCAGCCAAGGCTTCATGGCAGAGTCCGGGTGGAGAGCTGCTCACAGCATGGTGGACAGGAAGCAGAGAATGATCAAGGGAAGAGGAGGGAGACAGATTCTGCCTGACCACGCCCCCAGTGATCACTGTTGCCGCCAGCTCCCAGCAGTGCTTTCAGCTGCCAACTCATCATGGATGAATGCACCACAGTATCACACCCCATGAGCCACTCACCTCCCAAAGTCCGGCCTGTGAGCACACAAGGCTTTGGGGGAACAGCTAAATAGAAACTGTAACATGTGGGGTGCTGTGAAAATGCTCAACAGAGAGAGGCCCACTGGGGCTGCCTCCCCAGGAGGGATGAGGAGACCGTTGGCTGGGTTGAGAAGCTACCACGAGCCCGGCTCCCTGAAGGGAGGCCTCGGGGGTGGCTTTAAATGGGGACCGGTGGGAAAAGGAAGGGCGGCAGGAGAACAGGACATCGAGAAGTGAGTAGGCCATGGGCAGGGAGCTGGGTCCATACCGAGGACACAGGGCCCTGCTCTGGGAAGTGGCACTGTCCCTGAAGGGATCAGCAAGCACCAAGAGTTAACCCCGAAGGGCTCCTGCGGAGTGTTGTGGATGCACTCTAACCCGGAAGTGATCCAGAATGGTGTTGCACTTCCGCTCTAGCCCGGAAGTGATCCTGCTTAGTGTTGGTTCCAAGAGGAAAGGCGGAGCCGTGATCCAAGATCGTCATCATCCTACCCAGACAGAGTAACGTCAGAGACGAGCTTCCCAGATCCCAGTGAGATCTCAGAAGCTCTGAAAACCCAGCTCCTGGGCGTCTGTGGGAGATTCAGTGTCCACGCGTCCGGGTGTGGCTGGGATCACAGCCTTACACCAGCTTCCTCACGATCCTTACATCGAGTCAGGTGTGTCCGGTGCTAACTCGCGGCAATGGAGAAGTACCATTTCCTGTCCCTCGAAAGTAAATCCGTACGCTTGGGTCCCTTTTCGAGTACCCAAGCAACCAGACTTGTGGTTGGCAGAATGCCTCTCCATGTACGAGGCGACACCATCTGCTGTCTCGCTCTCCGACATTCCGACCACAGAAATGAACCGTTCCTCAGGCGTGCTCCTTGTGAGTGGGCTTTCCAGGTTGATAGAAGAGAGGCTGAGCAGGCGGCCTGTAACCGCCCACACCATCAAGGAGCAGCTGGGGGGAATAGCAGGAGGTGGGGACATTAGTCCAGTTCTGCATTCCCGAAGAGCCCTGCGGAGGCAAAGTGGTGTCTCCTACCCACCGAGTATCGACCTTGGGACTTTGTCACCTGCCTCAAATTCTGCCTGGTCCTGCCGAGGAAAGTACCAAGCTCTTGCCCAGACTGTGTTGTTGCAGAATTCTGCAGGTTTTCCACACAGTGAGGATGGTTCGCACATTGTGTCTGCCCAGGACCCTTTCTCCTAATCACACACGGAGAGGTGGCATGGTGGGAATGAGACCAAGTCTAAGCGCCAGGCTCCAGGTGCTCAAATCCTGGCTGTTGGGCTCATTAACCGAAGTGCTTATTTCACCTCTCCCTTCTTTTTTTGGGGGGGTCCTTGAGACCAAGTCTTGGAATGTAGTTCAGGCTGGCCTTGGACTTGGCTCAAACTCACAGAGACCCTCCTGCCTCAGCTGCCGAGTACTCCGGTTACATGTGTGTGGCACCACACCCCTCTCTGACCACTGTCACTTACTTCACATTTCCCACTGGAGGGAGAAAGGGAATAAGGATGGTGCAGTGTGAGTGGGCAACGCAAAACAACAAACCCTCCTTTGCTCACAGTTCTGGAGTGTGGAGGCCCAAGGCCGAGGTCAGGCTGGCAGGTTTCTCCTCATCTGCAGGCGCCGGCTCCTTGCTTTGTGTGCACCTGTGTCTGAATCCCGGCTCCCCGGAACCCGCTCGGGCTGGATCAGGCCCATCCACCTACCCAGTCTCAGCTCCATAGACAGACAGACCCTGGCTTATCACCTTTCAATTCTCCAGTGCTGAAACAGTGGTAAGCATTCGGGAGAAACCATACTTCCAACTTGTGATCTTGCCCTGTCCAGCGATCTGCAGTGTGCTCTCTTTTGTAATGCGGGGGACAGTGGCCGCCCCAGAGGCCCGCTGGAGTGAGCCAGGCACACACCGCGGTTTCCGGTGGGGCCGGGCCAGATGCTGGGAGAGTGCTATGCTGAGTGCGTATTTGGCTTACGTGACTTTCAGCTCGCGATGGGCTCCGTGGAATGTGGCCCACCTGTGGTCACACCCAAGTTACTGGTGACCAGGACCTCGGCAAGAATGGGCAGGAGCACAAAATTCAGCCTGCAGCAGACAGTATTTACCCAAAATGTTACTGGCAGAGTAGAGGAGCCGCCGGTGCCAGGCATGCGGCAAGCACCCCGTACCCGCTCTTTCCCAACGAGTAACTGGTCTGTAAGGTGCGGTGGGGAGATGGTGAGCGTCACGAGCACCAAGACTGAGCTGGCTCCACCCTGCAGACAGACAAGTAAACAAAGTCAGGAGCGGTGTGAAGCGGAGGATAGTTCTGTAACAACATCTGTTTAGGTGACCTCTCGTCTTTTTATTTTTTTAATTTATGTTATACCATCCCCCCACCTCGAGCCCCTCCATCTGTACAGAAGCTGTTTCCATTTTTTTCTATTTTCACTTAGGCGACTTCCTGTCTTGCTGAATCCCTGGTTTAAGGGATGGTGCCAGTCTTCACTGCCTTGTAAACTGTTATGGAGGGGCCTTGCCATGGCCGAGGTATCAGGGCTCTGCTTTTCAGCAGCTGTGGGAATTCAGATAAAGCCTCCTCCGGCGTCCAGTGACTGTCAGACGTCCTCGGCCATGGCCTACGGTGGCATATACTGTACCCCTCAGCACCGGGAGATGTACCAGTGGGAGCCCTCTCCCACCTCCCTGCCCACATCCAGAGTGCCACCACTCACTTCCTGAGTTGGATGAGGCTTCCAGGCTGGCTACAGAGTCCAGCAAGAACTAAACGGTGCCCAGGGTGCTCTCCCTCCCGGGAGTCCGTCCCACCACACAGACACAGTGCAGCAGAGTCCTTCCTGTGGGCTCAGTGTGGGGACAGGGCCCTCAGGACGGAGGCAGAGAGGCATGGGGTGATATGGCGCATGCCAGACATACATGCACACACAAACATCTGTGTGGCCAAATGGGCCCTTAGCACCCCCAGACGGGACAACCTTTTCCCCCACCAGGCCCCTTCTGGTCCCGGTGAGGAGCTGTGTGACCCTGCAGATGAAGTCCAGTCGTGCAGCTCATGCTGTTCCTGCAGGATCACGACAAGGATCATCCCTGGACCTCGTGGGCCAAGTCAGAAAAGCACCACCCTGGCCATGGCCTCACATGGTATCCGTGTTCAGAAAGACACCGTCCTTGCACGGGAGGGCATAGTGAGGAGTCCGTGACGATTATGTAAGCAGCGGCAGCTCTCGCTGCCCGGGACACACAGGACACACAGTCCCTGTGCCTGCTGCCGACAGTAGCCAATGCACACCCGTGGCAGCCCTGCGCTCCTGGGAGGACCGAACTTCACGCCCCCACTGCACGCCTGACTGTTGGGAAACCTGTGGCCGCTAGGTCAGGGCAAGCGATCAATAGTCGGGACCCAGCTGGGCCAATGTCCACTTCTGGGAAACTCAAAACTGCCATCACAATCACTGCTATCAAATACACACCTCACATCCCTTCAAATGTGTGTTTTGTTTTTGGTACCGGGGATCGAACTGGGGTCCTTGTGCTTGTGAGGCAGGTGCCAGCCACTGAGCTAAATCCCCAGCCGGCAGATGCGCTTTTTGACAAAGCCTGGTCTGGCATGGATATCTGCTGACTTCCATCCGCCTTTGTCTCCCTGCTCTTGTGTCGGTTCTTTGTGCAAACACAGCCATCTGTGCTCACTGGTGTCATACAGTCCATGCCGAGAAACAAGCCAGGTGATAGGCAGGGGCTCAGGACTTCGGACACCCGTCACTCACTTGCTCATAACAGACAATGACCCTAAGAATCTTGGGGCAGTTAAAACATGAGTTAGCGGTCAACACCCAAGTGGACGGTGACATGTGGAGGACTGTTGGTCCTGAGAACTCTCCTCTCTAAAACAAGTAAATCAGTCAGTCAGTCAACACATACTTATCAAAGCCTGCCATGACCCAAGCTTGTGGGCCACACTAGTAAATGGGACACACAAGGACCAAACGGGGGGCAGGAAGGGGGTTTAAAAGATGGGTTTGTTTGGGTTTTGTTCTTAATTGAGAGTTGTTAGCTATGTGGCAGTCAAGAATGACCTCCCGAGTGATTTAAACAAACCCTGAGCAAATGCCAAGTCCCTGAAGTGACCAAGGACAGGCAAGACGGGCGTCCAGACGGCCCACGTGAGCTGGAAGGAGAAAGGGCCACACTGGCGGTGTTCACGGAGGGAGCACGTGACCCATGGCTCACCGGGTGGCACGAGGCGGTGACAGCACAGGCATTCAAGACGTGTTTTGATGGGGAGTGAACAGGGCTGGAAAATAATGAGACAGAGGGACAGGCTGAGAAAAGATTTCGCCAGGACGTTGCTGGTAAGGGCGTGTCTTGCACTGTTGCCTTCAAGACACTGCCAGCAATGTAAGAGGCCTCTGGAGCTACTGCAGGAAATGGCAAGGACCATGGGATGAGTGTGCTCACAGCAGGAGGGACTCGGGTAGATTCAGGACAGTGTGTTTTTTTACTGTAACTGATACTTTAATTTTGGTGTTGACCATATTTTTTATCACACCTCATATCTCAGGCATCTAAAACATTCGCTGACACAGTGAGCATTCAGTCCGTCCCAAAGCAGTGAGCAAATGCCTGACCTGGGAGTTGGGGGAGCTGCTCATCGGAACAGCAGTTTTGGGGTGGGGAGGAAGACAGAGGAAACGGCTCAAGTGCCCCTCACAGACCCCTGGCTGATTCCACTGACAGCCACTCGGATGACTTCGCTTTTCCACACCAAGGAATCGGCCCCAGAAAGGTGAACAGGCCTGGGCCCAGCTCCTAGCTGAGGCCTGTGTAGACGGCACAGCACAGGCGTGGGTTTGTGGAGGGACCACAACCCTCCAAGAGCTCCCAGTCCAGGCGGGTTCAGAGCACAGGAGAATAAGCCGTCTGTTTGGGAAGGCCCTCTGCTCTTGTGCAGAAGGCCTGGGACTCCCAAGGTGGACAGCTGGAATCCTTCCCAGCCCGTTACCCATGGTCTCCCTTCTCCGCCTAGCTGTTTAAAAAGCCCCAGCAGAGCCTCCATGCATGCACCAGCCCACCCTCACTGAGAAAGGTCGTTTTTAATTCCTCTGTGCTGATGGAGGCATGGCAGGGGTGAGGTTCTGCAGACCTTGACAGTGTCTGACCCGGCTGGGGAGTGCACACTCCACCCAGCCCCAAGACCCAGGACAGGACAGGCCTGGTGGCCCTCGGTGGTGAGCGAGGCAGCAAATCAGTGCCCTGAGTCCCAGGGTCACAGTAAATCTGATCCTTGTTCTGCCTGCCTTTCTGAGGCTGAGCTAGTGAGGCGCGAGGACAGCCGGGTACTGGCCACCTGATGCCGAAAGCTTGTGACTGAGACATGATCTGGCTGCGTGGCCAAGGCTGGCCTTGAACTCCCCAGATACTCCTGCCTCAGCCTCCCAGCGCTGGAATGACAGGCCTGCACCCCACACCCGGGGGTCATGTAATGTGCAGGAGCCTCCGGGAAGCGACTCAGGCTTGTCCCTGCAGATGGCACTTCGAGCAGTGGGTTGGGGGGGTGGGGGGAGAACCCACCCAAAATTGTGACCAGAAAAGCGGGAGAAGGGATCCAGGAAAGAAACCGGGAGTGCGAGAGGGCGCGGCCCGGCCAGAGGGAGGCAGAGTCAGGCGGAGACTGGGGTAGGACGCAGGACGGACAGGGGCGGGGTGGCCCGGCTGGCCG